AGAATCCTTCAAAGGCAAGATAGACCAGATAGTGCAAAGTTTGCATACCTCCTCTTTGGGGTGGAGAGCCTTTTATAACCACCTCGCGCACTCACTCCTAGACTCCTGTCAGGTCGGGAATGAGTATTTCCGTGCTTCTGCCAGTTCGGGCGTCATCGCCTCTGCTGGGGCAGAACCGTCACTGCTCTTTTTGTCGGAGCCGTCTCTGTAACTGGAGGTAGTGGTGATAGGTGACGGTGGCAGGTGGCCGTTTGAAATGCGGCCGTCAAGCGTCAGATCCCAAGTCAGTCAGGTGCACCGCCCCTAGATACGGACTCCTTCGGTGTCAGGTACGGCGCGGTTCGTCTAGTTCAATGCTCCGGAAGCGAAGTGCCTGGAGCGGTGCGTGAGGCGTAGTCTTGAGTTCGGATAAGGGGGGCCCGAACTATCATAAGACGGGCCAGTCCGGGTCTCTACTTTGTGTGACGGGGTCAAAGAGGGAGTTCGGGCCCCTCGCAGGGAGTTCGACCACTAAGTAGGGAGTCCGAGCACCTTGCAGGGAGTTCGACCACTAAGTAGGGAGTTCAGGCCCCTTGCTAGGGAGTTCGGACCTGCTAGTCCCTTCCCTTTGGCATTTGTACCCTCGGTATGCTGTTTTATGTGCCGAGCTACTTGCCCTTTTTTGCCACGTGCCGTGATTTGCGAGGTCAGGCCAAATATTCATCAGGTGGTATGCCGGCGATGGTTATTGACCTCCTCCCTTTGAGAATCCACAACATCATCAATACAAAGATCATTGTCAAACGAAGCCTGCAGTTCGTGCCAGCAAACTGGGCAAGAATTGTGAATTTGCAAACAGAGAGCAATGCAGCTGCAATGGTAAACATGCTTACACAATATATCCCTAACTTCCTCATCAATCTTGAACTCCTCCTTACAAACTGGACAATGTGAATCGTCCTTCAAATGGGTATCTGTGATTTTCACTCTCGGCATGGCATCAATGGCTGACTTAGGTGCTGGAGGCGGACCTGGTCGGTCATTCTGGGTGAATTCCTCAATCAGCTCATTCAGCCTTGGCCCAACAAAGTAATCTCTAGGGTCAGTAGCCCTGGTAAACAGATTTTTCGGGGGGGTGGACATGGTTCCGGTCGGATGAGGACGGTTGGTGGGTCAGACTTTAATCAAACGTCTAGGCCGGTTTCGAAGTTCAACCTCCGGTTCCAAGCGAAATCTCCCGTCGAAATCATGAACATGCCAACGCATTGGGGGGTCAAGCATGAGAGACATGGCTTCCAATAACCGGGCCTTAGGAGAGGAATCAAGACCAGTGAGGTCAAGAACAAACCTGGGGCAACCTTGACTGTTCGTTGGCTGAAATGTTGGGGGCAGAAAATCTCAAATGTGATGGAAGCGGCAACCTTGACTGTTCGTTGGCACTAGTAACAATAGTAAAGATGGTAGCTCCTGATGCCATTGACTCTTACACGAGGAAGGCTTACAAACATAATTGCTAGCTTCCAAATTCAAATGGGATTTTGATTTTTTCTGGGTTTCTGGGTTTGTGTTTGTTTGTGGAGAGAACACAGTGAAGAGAGATTAATAGAAAGAAGGCATACATGTATATAGATCGGAAAGGAAGAGAGAAAAGAATGGCTTTTGGAGTTGTAGAAAGCGATTCTCTATTTCCCTCACCGATCTGCCTTGCTGCCTAACCCTCCATCTTCGATCTCCTCCAACCAAAGGAGAGGATGAGTGAAGGGTAAAATAGGTATTTTTAAAATTTGACTCACTGGTTTAACATTTTCTGTCTTTGTCACTTGTGGAAAGAGAGGTTTTTGTCGAATTTTTTAAAAATCTAAGAGAGGTTTTTGCTAAAGTGAAACTTCAGGGAAGCTTTTATGATTGTTAGAAACTTTAGGAGAGGTTTTTTGTATTTTACCCATATTATATTTAGAAAACTAATCAAGTCGTAAATTTTTTAAATAACCAAGGAAAAAAAGTAGTTTGAAGATTTGAAAATGAAAAATAAGCAACTGAATGAAATTTTTTTCAAAGTTAACTAACATAACTGTAACAAAGGGGATATTTGTGCAAAACTATGAAAGTTCAAAGGGTCTTCGTCGCAAATGAAAATTCAGGGAATACACTGATCCCATAGGAGGAGGTCATTGTTGCATAATTGTCATTGACCCCATAGTAGGGGGCTTAAGCCAAACTTGGCACAACAACTGCAGAGACACTATACTCAAAGTCTCAAAACCCTAACTTCAATGACCTGGTCTACTAGACACATAACATCAACCAATAAGAACCGAAGGCGCAATGCAACAAAATAAAAGTCCTTATAAACAACATTTGACAGCCATGTAGGGAACTCATCAGTAGACTGCAACTCCATCTACAGTCCTGTTTTTGCTACTATTGGACTCACCTATTGGAATTTTATAGATTTTCCTACACAAAAGCCAAAATATCTCTGCACTAGAAGATAATATCCTGGAGACAATGGCCTTAACCTTTTGAAAAAGAATGAACTTCATTGGAACATAAAATTCTAGTAACTGAAGGTACGAGTTTGGAAATGAAGTAATCTGGTTTCAAAGAAGGAAATCTAGTAGATTGGCTAGCTGGTGTTTTTTTATTTATTTTCTTTCTAATTGCTCTTGGTGTTTAAAGTTTAAGCTATATTAATTTATTTTCGAGACGTACTATTTAGAACCTAGATTTTCTACTCACAGTGCACAGCAGCCGTACATCTCACAATACAAGATGGCGATGTATAACTGTAATTCACGGCAGATAGAGTGTGGGTAGAGAGTAGTGGACAGGAAATCCGGTTTGTGCTATCTAGCCCCTTTGTCCTATGTATTAAATGCATTTTAATCAAATTAGTTGTTAAACTTGGGGCCTTTTCCTTTTGATTCATGCCATGCTGCTTTTGGTCCCATAGGGGCGGAGGTAGGAATGGCAATGGGGCGAGTTCAATAAATCAAAAAGAAAAAAAAAAAAAAGATTAAAGGGGTGGGTTCAGGGTGGGAACCAAAATCATTAAAAAGGTTGTTCTTTGGCTCAACCATCAAGCCAGAAGTGGATTTTACTTCCATTTATAATTGTCCATCATATCCCTTTTAATTTGTATCAATTCTTTATAGTCAAGAAATTGTTGATGGGCTTCTACTTATGCTCAGTTTGGGAAGAGTGTAAAATACTCAAAAAACCTTGTGTATGGTGTTTCTAAACCTTGTCTTTACACTTTTCCTAGCTCAGTTACAGATATAAATAAGTAGAGTACAAAATTTTCTATTTTGTATTAATTTGTATGTATTTGTATTGTACATATTTGTATTTATTTTCTTTTCAAAATGAGCCTTAGGCTATGTTTGATTGTAATGGAAATTTATTTACACTGATGCAAAATCATAATAGTGCAAATGATTTTGGTGCAATTATAATTTATTTTTATTTCAAAAGTTACCTTATTTTGTTTGATTTCAGTACAAATTAAGTAAAATAAGACCCAAAGCAGAATAAATTAATTAAAACCCAAAACAAAATCAAACCCTAATTTGCATTTTTTCATTCGCACTCCCATGCATTTGTATTCGAGGTTGAAGGACTTTTACCATTGGCATCAAGTAGTATTTCCATGGCATATATATTATATAAAAAAATGGCGGTTAACTGAATCGACCAGTATACATATATTTCTATATATATATATATATATATATTATTTTTTATATATTATAAATTAATAAATATGCATTTTATATATAAATTATTTATTATTTAAAATATAATATTTTATATGTATTTATAATTTTTATTATATATTTATATATTTTTATAATATATATTGTAAAAACTAAAAAACCATCAAACCGAACCAACAGTTAACCAAACCGATCAACCGGTTAACCAGCTGGTTTCGGTTTGGTTCCGGTTACCGGTTTTCCAAAATCCAGTACTACCGGTTTTCCAAAAACTGGCACTACTGATTCGGTTCCGGTTACCGGTTTTCCTACCAGTTTGGTTAACCAAACTGTGAGCACCCCTATTATTTCCAAGGTACTTGATGAAATTAATCTTGTATTTCTGCTACAATTTGTCTATGATGTCTGTATACTGTCTTCTATGATAAAATCAAGTTTTTATGTTTGATGCAATTTTGGCCCCATAAGGGTGGGCTGGTATATGCCAGACCCAGTTAGTTGGGTTAGTGATGGCAGGGATTAGGGGTGACCAATTGATCATTTCCAGCATGACCCGGTGCAGCATGGAAAGTTCCAAGGTTGGGCCTAAGTTTTGGGTTCAGACCTGGCCCAGACTTGACCTGCATCAGGGGAAATTTTAGGGTCGGGCCTGGCCCAACATTTATACTTTCAACCATTTGAACCATGGTTAAGGCTAAATTTTAGGTATGGAGTTCAAGTCACAACGTTAAAAGCATTTAAAATTTTCACCTTGGCCAAGTCTTTCAAGTCTAGTTGTTCAACTCAGCTCAAATGCAACAGACCAACCTAGGCCTGCACTATTGACCAAAGGGTGACATGGGCTGGGCTTAGAACTGATCAAACCCCAATATACTGTGCTTGGTTCGGTCAAGCCCGGCCTGCCCCTGCTAAATCCTAAAATGTTATCATTTATTTATTTAGGCTGCATTTGGTTGTAATGCAAATAAATTTGCATTGATGCAAAACTATAGCAGTGCAAATGATTTGAGTGTAAGCTCTCACTTATTCTTGTTTTAAATTTTAGCTTATTTTGTTTGATTGCCATATAAAGAATTTGCATTTTCTTTCATTTGTACTTTCATGCATTTGTATTAGTGCAAATAAAACTGCACTGCAACCAAACACAGCCTCAACCATTATTAAACCAACTCAGAATCTGTGGAATGACTGATATTTCACACATGCAATGTCATGATGCAGAAAAAGAAAAAAAAAACTTATAACCAATCAATCCATATCATAAAAACTGTTATCAATCAGGTGGGTTTTCACCAAAATTTATGAGGGGTTTTGATTGGTTAAAGTCTTTCCAGCGCCATAGATTTTTATCAGATTTCCCTATCTTTTCTACTTTTTCTTTTAAACCAAACACAGCTTACATGTTGCATTTTCCAGGTCATGCTGAAAAACCTTTACAAATCTTGTATAGACTTCCCTATGTTTCACTTCCTTTCCCTACATAACCTTAGTTTAATGGATTCTTAAAACCAAAGTTATTGGGCATGCTCCTTATGACCTTATTGGGCTTGGACCTAAAATCCCAACCGAAACTAAACTTGGTTTGGGCAAAATACGATCTAACACAAGCCCAATGTTCAGATTCGTTAGCAACTTCAGTGTATGGGCTAATGATTATGTCAAATTGCCCATTTTTGGTATGGCATTGAAGCCTTTTCTAGCGTCCTTTAAGTATCCCTTCTCACAACCTTCTGTCTTTTATAGTGTGTTTGGTTTGAAGGAAAAAAGTAGGGAAAGGAAGGGAAAGGTAGGAAAACCTTTACGAAACTTTGTAAAGGTTTTGTGGGATGTAACTTGGGTCAGACTGAAGTGATATTTTGAACGTGGCCCTGTCTACTGGAACCCAGCCTAATTAAAATGGGCTATCTACTATATCTGATGCATTTAATAAGCTTTCAAATGGATTTAATTGAATTATATCTATTTCTATCTACCTATCTAAATTTCACCTTTTCTTCCTAAAACAGGATGTTAAGCTTTGGGAGATTTGACAGATGGATACATCAAAATGTTGTGGAATTATGCTCTACAATTATGCCATTTGCATCTCCCCAAATGGTATGCTGATGGCAGGGTTGATGAAGTCGATTATGACATCTATATCTATATGAGAAGGAGGAAAGCACGGAGGTGAGGGTCCTCTCACCACAAAGTTGATATGGACCTACTCCTCTCATTTCTCACACATGTGGTTATTTATTTTTAAATTAAATTATTAAAAATATAACAAGTCAAAATAAAAACCCTCATAGGTCTTCGTTGTCTGTTGTCTCTCATGAAATCCATATTTACTCTTTCTCTAATAAGATTATTCTTAAAGGCTAAACCTAAATATGAACCCTAGTTTAGACGCAAACTAATGTTAACCCCCAATTTAATTTTTTCCAT